TCAGTGTAAAAATATAGCTAGCCCATAGTACCCTTCTGTAGGCTATTTTGAATACTTCACTTCCTTTTCACACAGTGCTAGCGCTGTACAGTCGTGGTACAGTGTACAGTTTTGAGAATGACACAAATACTAATTTTCACAAAGTCTGCTGCCTCAGTTTTGATGATGGCAATTTGCATATACTCCAGAATGTCATGAAGAGTGATCAGATGAATTGCAATTAATTGCATAGTCCCTCTTTGCCATGAAAATGAACTTAATCCCCCCAAAACATTAACACTGTATTTCAGCCCTGCCACAAAAGGACCAGCTGACATCATGTCAGTGATTCTCTCGTTAAAACAGGTGAGAGTGTTGACGAGGACAAGGCTGGAGATCACTCATGCTGATTGAGTTAGAATAACAGACTGGAAGCTTTAAAAGGAGGGTGGTGCTTGAAATCATTGTTCTTCCTCTGTTAACCATGGTTACCTGCAAGGAAACACGTGCCGTCATCATTGCTTTGCACAAAAAGGGCTTCACAGGCAAGGATATTGCTGCTAGTAAGATTGCACCTAAATCAGCCATTTATCGGATCATCAAGAACTTAAAGGAGAGAGGGTAAATTGTTGTGAAGAAGGCGTCAGGGCGCCCAAGAAAGTTCAGCAAGCTCCAGGACCGTCTCCTAAAGTTGATTCAGCTGCGTGATCGGGGCACCACCAGTGCATAGCTTGCTCAGGAATGGCAGCAGGCAGGTGTGAGTGCATCTGCACGCACAGTGAGGCAAAGACTTTTGGAGGATGGCCTGGTGTCAAGAAGGGCAGCAAAGAAGCCACTTCTCTCCAGAAAAAACATCAGGGACAGACTGATATTCTGCAAAAGGTACAGGGATTGGACTGCTGAGGACTGGGGTAAAGTCATTTTCTTTGATGAATCCCCTTTCCGATTGTTTGGGGCATCCGGAAAACACCTTGTCCGGAGAAGACAAGGTGAGCGCTACCATCAGTCCTGTGTCATGCCAACAGTAAAGCATCCTGAGACCATTCATGTGTGGGGTTGCTTCTTAGCCAAGGGAGTGGGCTCACTCACAATTTTGCCTAAGAACACAGCTATGAATAAAGAATGGTACCAACACATCCTCCGAGAGCAACTTCTCCCAACCATCCAAGAACAGTTTGATGACGACCAATGCCTTTTCCAGCATGATAGCATGATGGAGCACCTTGCCATAAGGCAAAAGTGATAACTAAGTGGCTCGGGGAACAAAACATCAACATTTTGGGTCCATGGCCAGGAAACTCCCCAGACTTTAATCCCATTGAGAACTTGTGGTCGATCCTCAAGAGGCGGGTGGACAAACAAAAACCCACAAATTCGGACAAACTCCAAGCATTGATTATGCAAGAATGGGCTGCCATCAGTCAGGATGTGGCCCAGAAGTTAATTGACAGCATGTCAGGGCGGATTGCAGAGGTCTTGAAAAAGAAGGGTCAACACTGCAAATATTGGCTCTTTGCATAAACTTAATGTAATTGTCAATAAAAGCCTTTGACACTTATGGAATTCTTGTAATTATACTTCAGTATACCATAGTAACATCTGACAAAAATATCTCATAACACTGAAGCAGCGAACTTTGTGAAGACCAATACTTGTGTCATTCTCAACTTTTGACCACGACTATAGTACCATTCACTGACCACATTGGCTAGTCACCACTTACTGAACTAAGATTGAAAAAAAAAAATGTGAGTGTTAGTTCACGAACGGCCACCCTGACGCAACTCATGTGGTACACAGTGAAGGACAGCTGTGACACACTGGTCGGGACATGAGACCATTGTAAATGCAGTATTCAACAATCATTCTCATGATAGCACATTGGTAGTAGTCAGTGACACATTTCAAAGCTGAGCTTGGTTAAAACCCTGGATGGGCGTTGAGACCTCGTTCTTTAGATAAAAAAATATGACAGTTGAATTAGAAGGTGGCGCTCGGGGGCTGTGTGTATCTGTCCATGTGGGTGTTTGAGTGAGAAAGACACAGAGGAGAACCAACCAGTAAAAAACACAGCCCCATCATGGAGCCTTTCCAGACTCTGAAGTCAGGAAGACTTTGAGTTAGGTGTCAGACAGACTAAGGCCACCCTGCATGCTGCTAAGTGATTGGTTTAGCTATGTTTCTTCCTTCATCCTGACTCCTCAGGTCCTGGCTTAGACGTGTAGTAGTAGAAACAGACTGAAATAGGATCCTTAATGGAAAAGAATCATGAAAATCAAATAAGAATCTTGTATGACAGAAAATTATTTGTACAACAATCTAATAAGTATCCTAAAAAGTGTCTGGTAAGATTTAGTATGTTTTTCCATATGTCAGTGGTGTATTTGTATATATGGTAACTTCTATGCCTCAAATGACGTACACAATTGAATACATGATTGTGGTGAATTTCTTACATATTTGAGACAACATATATTAATTGTATGAGTCATCAATGATAAGAAAGGTGTATGTTCTTACAATGTAACCTATACAAAATAAATGTTTTCCTTTATAGGTTTCACATTGTTTTTACAAGTCAACATATAAAAAAAAACATGACAATTACGAAAAATACAATATTTGTATACATTTTCAGGTATGAGTTTCCATGGTTAAGGCTGGGCAGCACCTCCTACTGGACAGTTGATTTATCTACTTATCTTTAGTCTCCCATACCAGGTTTTAGCTTTGATAATTTGTCATTGACTACTACCAATGTGCTATCGTGAGAATGATTGTTGAGGGATCTCCACTATATAGAAATAGCATAGATTCACTGCCGCTATCAAAGTCATTCCTCTTCTTCCTCCTCCTCCTCCTCCTCCTCCTCACCTCCACCTCCTCCTGCTTTCCCCCTTCCTCCTCGCGGCGGACTTTGCTTCTTTTTTTTTAGAAGTGCGACGTTGCGTGCGTCAAAGACGTCAGATAGTGGCATACAAGTGCTTTGAAATGTGTAGGTCCCATGTATGTGAGACCTTAGAAGGCTTAGCTTCCATATCTCTCATATGTTTTTATACAATACATGCAACAGCTTGTTATTACTATGATCCAAGTGCTTTGAAATTTGTATGTCCCATACATGTGACTTTCACATTTCCATTTATCACTATGTTTGATGTACAGTTACAAGATGACAGAGTGTCATACTCTGGGTTGTTCTGAACAGAATGAGCCTAATGTTTGTCTATTGTGACAAACATTTGCAGTGGAATGCACTAGGGCCTGGACGATACCAGTATTGCATTATTTTTTCCATTGCAAAAATGAACACACGAAGCAGACCAAACTCTCTGCAAAAATGTATGGAAGTTTTGTTCAGATCAAAAGGGGTGTGGTCAAAAAGCGATTGAAGTCAAATGGAAAGACCCTTTTTAGTATGTTGTTTTGTTTATTCAGGGATGAATAAAGGTAATTTAATTGAACAGACATTTCCTCCATCCCAACCACCCCATCTCCAACCATTAAGATACTTTGTATCTTGATGGAATCCCATGCTCTCCCAAAAACCCAGCATAACACTCACACTTGCCTTTTACTACTAGCACTATGCTGATAACTAGCCTACTTTATTGAGAAAAAAATGTACTTACTATAACCAGGTTTCCATCTAACCTTTTTATGCAAGGAAAGTACATGTCTGATTAAAAAATGTCACGACAGGCCAGATGGAAACAGCCAATTTGTTGGTAAACTTTCCAAATGTCGACAAAACAAAATACGCTAAAGCCTCCCGAGTGGCGCAGCAGTCTAAGGCACTGCATCGCAGTGCTTGAGGTGTCACTACAGACCCGGGTTCGATCCCAGGCAGTGTCACAGCTGGCTGTGACCAGGAGACCCATGAGGCGGCGCACAATTGGCCCAGCGTCGTCCGTGTTCGAGGAGGGTTTGGCCGGCCGGGATATCCTTGTCGCATCGCGCTCTAGCGGGCCGGGCGCCTGCAAGCTGACTTCGGTCGCCAGCTAGACGGTGTTTCCTCCGACACATTGGTGCGGCTGGCTTCCGGGTTAAGCGAGCAGTGTGTCAAGAATCAGTGCGGCTTTGCATGCAGGTCGTGTTTCGGAGGACGCATTGCTCTCGACCTTCGCCTCTCCTGTGTCCGTAGGGGCGTTGCAGCGATGGGACAAGAATGTAACTACCAGTTGGATATCATGAAATTAGGGAGATAAAAGGGGTAAAAAGTACAAAAAAATTAATTATAATAATAATTTCAAAATACGCTAGACAAGGTGGGATATTTTTGTGTCTATAAAATTATGCGAGAAATGTCAGTGGAAATGCTATTATGCGCAAATATTGATATATAATAACCATCATACGCAATGACATGTTGTGTGGTCCTCCCACTACGACTCGGGAAAGCATGCAGTTTATTAGGCTACAGATGAAATACGTTTTGATGAACTTCACGGGGTGGTGAAAGTGCAAGGTGATGAGCTTGATGCTCCTTTCCAATAAATATTGAGGGTCTTATTCTGGTGACATGATGATCGATGCTTGGCTGCTGTTTGACAAGTAAAACGTATCTTGCTCTTTTGTCCATAATAATATCATCATGTAGTAGGCTACCTGTCCTGCACTGTATCTGCGAGCTGTTGGCTAAACTCATTTAACTTGTGTTTTTTTATTCAGTACATGGGAATTTAACCACAAACGTTATTTTTATGTGCATTCCTCATCACGCACATATCTGGTGGGAAAATGCTCATATTGTTTTTGTGCAGATTTTTGAATATTCGCTTGAAAATCTGTCGCCAATTGGATGGTAACCTAGCTTCTGACTGATATGTGGCGGTCTTACCTAGCTGTCTTAATATGAATGCACTAACTTTAAGTGGCTCTGGATAAGACCGGGTGCTAAATGACTAAAATGTAAATGTAAATCACCTTGCCCCCCCCAGGTGCAGCACACGGCGTGTAATGGCAGCAGCGGTCTGGGCCTGTACAGCCGTCCCTTCATCGAGTCTTTTGAGGAAACACCCATGCTGGTGGCGGTCCTCACCTACATGGGCTACGGCATCCTCACCATCTTCGGATACCTCCGAGACTTCCTCCGGGACTGGAAAATCGAGAGGTGTCACATTGCCCGTGAGAGGGAGGAGCAGAAGGTACGACTATGACCACCTCACCTGGCTTTGTCCTCAGTTTGTTTGAAAAACTTTATTAATTCTTATTTCCATTATTCTCATCCTCTTCATCAACGTCGTCATTCGTTAAGGGGATTCCCCCTCCCCCACCGCCCAAAAGAAAGTTCCCCCCAAAAATCTAAGGAGTCAGATGTTTTCATATTTCAAAAGTGACATTTTTTTTTATGTTCAACTTATTTGTTCAACTTATTTACTTTTGAGGTAAGAAAAGGAGATAACATTCCACATTGGAGTTTTACATTCACAATAGCACATGGACCCATTTATTTTGGCTCTGAAGTCCAATTTTGGGGAGGATATCTCAGATCTCAGATGGAATGTTTGTGAAAAAGGAAGGAAAGCATTAGCCAATTAAAGCCACTGGTCCTTCGGTGTAACACAACAGTCATTCATTGTGACATACACTAGTAAACAGGAAGTGGGAATGTGAGAAGGAGGTTGTTGTGTCCTACTGTACGACACAGACCTTAAGTCACTCACTGCGAGTAAAATAACAGTTTCAGGACATTGTTTTGGCACTCGGTCACCTCTTGGAGGAGGAAAGGAGGAAACTTTATCGCCTGAAGGATATCCTACTCTTGTTGCCTCAGACTTCACTGTCGGGTTTGAAGAAAACACTTTCAAGGAAATAAGCTGAATGCCTGTGGGGCCTTTTCAGTCATGTGTAAACTTAAGCTAACCTCTGCGTATATGGAGAGATTAAGACTCTAATTAGAACAGTACATGTTTGACTGTTCTTTGACTGAGCTCAACCTATATGCTTAGTGTAATATGGATGAATGGGCCATAGTACACAGAATATGGCTGACGTGATGTGGGAGTCTGAAATAAATGCCTAACGTAACAGGTCACTTAACATAGAGCAGTATGTGTGTGTGGTCTATACTAGAAAATGGGAATATTACTTATTTTTATTTTCCTGTTCCCCTCTCCCTCTCCCATATGTTCTGTCTCCAGGACTTTGTCCCACTTTACCAGGACTTTGAGAACTTTTACACCAGGAACTTATATATGCGCATCCGTGACAGTTGGAACCGACCCATCTGCAGTGTCCCGGGGGCTAAGGTGGACCTGGTGGAACGTGTGTCACACGACTACAACTGGACCTTTGAGTGAGTGTCATAGTCACAGGAAAAAACAAGAAACCAACTCAGTGGTCTTGTGATTAGTGTCCGCCCTGAGATTGGAAGGTTGGGAGTTCTATCTCCGGCCAAGTCATACCAGACTGACACTCAACATTAAGGAAATAGATTGGGGGTAAGGCCCTGCGAAAGACTAGCGTCCTGTCCAGGGGGTGTACTTGTACACCAAGCTGCCTCACACTACAGAAACAGGAGATAGGCTCCTATGGGCCTTTCTGGCTCGCACAAGCCAAGGCTACTTACAGTCACAGGATGCGTCCCAAATGGCACCCTATTCCCTACATAGTGCATTACTTTTGACCAGAACCCTATAGGACCATTTGGGACGTAGCCACAGAGTTGCTAAAAGAAGGTCCTAACCACTGATCAAGGGCCAGATGAGAACATTAGCCCTCTAATGTTTAGCATTAAGATTCAAGGTAGGGTAAGCTGGGCAGCTCCAGGCCTGGTGGGCCGCAGGCGTGCAGGGTTTTGTTCCAGTCCAGCAAAAATACACCAGATTAGGCCTAAATATTCAACTAATCATGGCTTTCAGTTTGCACCATGATTATTTTTACCATTTTCTACATTGTAGAATATTAGTGAAGACATCAAAACTATGAAATAACACATGTGGAATCATGTAGTAACCAGAAAAGTGTTAAACAAATCAAAATATATTTTATATTTGAGATTCTTCAAATAGCCACACTTTGCCTTGATGACAGCTTTGCACACTCTAGGCATTCTCTCAACCAGCTTCATGAGGTAGTCACCTGGAATGCATTTCAATTAACAGGTGTGCCTTGTTAAAAGTTAATTTGTGGAATTTATTTCCTTCTTAATGTGTTTGAGCCAATCAGTTCTGTTGTGACAAGGGAGGGGAGGGGAGGGGTAGCCCTATTTGAAGATAGCCCTATTTGGTAAAAGACCAAGTCCATATTATGGCAAGAACAGCTCAAATAAGCAAAGAGAAACAACAGTCCATCATTACATTAAGACATGAAGGTTTGTCAATACTGAAAATGTCAAGAACTTTTAAACTTTCGTCAAGTGCTGTCGCAAAAACCATCAAGCGCTATGATGAAACTGGCTCTCATGAGGACCACCACAGGAATACAAGACCCAGAGTTACCTCTGCTGCAGAGGATAAGTTCATTAGAGTTACCAGCCTCAGAAATTGCAGCCCAAATAAATGCGTCACAGAGTTCAAGTAACAGACACATCTCAACATCAACTGTTCAGAGGAGACTGTGTGAATCAGGCCTTCGTGGTGGAATTGCCTCAAAGAAACCACTACTAAAGGACACCAATAAGAAGAAGAGACTTGCTTGGGCCAAGAAACACGAGCAATGGACAATAGACCAGTGGAAATGTGTCCTTTGGAGTCCAAATTGGAGATTTTTGGTTCCAACCACCATTTGTCTTTGTGAGATGCGGTGTGGATCTCCACATGTGTATTTCCCACCATAAAGCATGGAGGAGGAGGTGTTATGATGTGGGGGTGCTTTGCTGGTGACACTGTCTGTGATTTATTTAGAATTCAAGGCACACTTAACCAGCATGGCTACCACAGCATTCTGCTTTGATATGCCATCCCATCTTGTTTGGGCTTAGTGGGACTATCATTTGTTTTTCAACAGGACAATGACCCAACACACCTCCAGGCTTTTTAAGGGCTATTTTACCAAGACGGAGAGTGGTGGAGTGCTGCATCAGATGACCTGGCCTCCACAATCCCCTGACCTCAACCCAATTGAGATGGTTTGGGATGAGTTGGACAGCAGAGTGAAGGAAAAGCAGCCAACAAGTGCTCAGCATATGTCGGAACTCCTTCAAGACTGTTGGAAAAGCATTCCAGGTGAAGCTGATTGAGAGAATGCCAAGAGTGTGCAAAGCTGTCATCAAGGCAAAGGGTGGCTATTTGAAGAATCTCAAATATAAAATATATTTTGATTTGTTTAACACTATTTTGGTTACAACATGATTCCATATGTGTTATTTCATAGTTTTGATGTCTTCACTATTATTCTACAATGTAAAAAATAGTACAAATAAAGAAAAACCCTTGAATGAGTAGGTGTGTCCAAACTTTTGACTGGTATTGTGTATACAGTGCTATGAAATAGTATTTCCCCCCTTTCTAATTTTCTCTACTTTTGCATATTTGTGATACTCAATGTTATCAGATCTTCAACCAAAACCTAATATTAGATAAAGGGAACATAAGTGGACAAATAACACAACAATTACATATTTATTTCATTAACAAAGTTATACAACACCCAATTCCCCTGTGTGAAAAAGTAATTGCCCCCTTACACTCAATAACTGGTTGTGCCACCTTTAGCTGCAATGACTCCAACCAAATGCTTCCTGTAGTTGTTGATCAGTCTCTCAGGTCGCTGTGGAGGAATTTTGGCCCACTCTTCCATGCAGAACTGCTTTATCTCAGTGACGTGTGGGTTTTCAAGCATGAACTGCTCGTTTCAAGACCTGCCACAACATCTCAATTGGGATTAGGTCTGGACTTTGACTAGGCCATTCCAAAACTTCCAATTTGTTGCTTTTTAGCAATTTCATGTAGACTTGATTGTGTGTTTTGGATCATTGTCTTGCTGCATGACCCAGCTGCGCTTCAGCTTCAGCTCACAGACGGATGGTCTGACATTCTCCTGTAGAATTCTCTGATACAGAGCAGAATTCATGGTTCCTTCTATTAAGGCAAGTCATCCAGGTCCTGAGGCAGCAAAGCATCCCCAAACCATCACACCACCACCACCAAATATTAAGCTCTGCTTTTCTGATGTATCAAATACTTATGTCATGCAATAAAATGCAAATTAATTACTTACAAATCATACAATGTGATTTTCTGGATTTTTGGTTTAGATTCCGTCTCTCACAGTTGAAGTGTACCTATGATAAAAATGACAGACCTCTACATGCTTTGTAAGTAGGAAAACCTGCAAAATCAGCAATGTATCAAAAACTTGTTCTCCCCACTGTGTATATATATATTTATTTATATAAATAACTTGGGCGGGAGGAAGAGAGAGGGAGGACACTGAGAGGTTATTCTAGACTAACCACAAGACCTGAGGCCTCTCGTCATGATTTGTTTGATTACTGAAAAGCAGAACTGTGAACTAAACGGAAAGTGTCCTTTTGACGCTGTGTTCTGATTTGGTTGTGTGTGTGTGTGTGTGTGTGTGTGATTAGCATCATACCATTATAGAGTCTGGCTGATAAACATGCAGTCAAGAGACTGTTGAAGGTCAAGTATGTGTTGGTGTATTTGGCAGACATTTCAGTCCAAGTGAATTACTTGCTTAGCTGAATACAGTAAAGGTTAAATACATTTGGCACCCCTTTCAGTCCCAGCTATACAGAGTAATGGGTCCTATAACTAGCTATAACTCTCTCTCGTTCTCTCTCTCTCTCTCTGTTTCCCTATGTCTCTCTCTCTCTCTCTCTCTCTCGCTCTCTGTTTCCCTATGTCTCTCTCTCTCTCTGTTTCCCTATGTCTCTCTCTCTCTCTGTTTCCCTATGTCTCTCTCTCTCTCTCTGTTTCCCTCTGTCTCGCTCTCTTTATGTTTCCCTCTGTCTCTCTCTTTTTGTTTCCCTCTGTCTCTCTCTCGCTCTGTCTCTCTCTCTCTCTGTCTTTCTCTCTCTCAGCTACACAGGCAGAGTGGTTGAAGGTGTGATAAACATGGGTTCTTATAACTACCTGGGCTTTGCTGAGAACACAGGTTATTGTGCCGACGCATCCGCTGAGGTCACCATGAAGTATGGGGTGGGCGTGGCCAGCACCAGGCAGGAGATGGGTATGGCCTGGTAACACACACATGCCCACACACACACGCCGTGTAAACGCACACATGCACAAACACACACTCACTCAACTAAAAACAGGCGGGGAAATACACTGTCCCATAGTTGAATTCATTTCGCTGTCCAACATGGCCAATATGTTGACCCAAACAAGACACAGAGAGCAGTGAAAGAGAACAGCTCTGATTCTCACAATCCTCCCTTTTCTGTAAAAAGTGGAATATTTACAAATGAATCCAATGTAAGCATTTTTATCTCACTTTCACACCCTCAAGTTATTTGTGTTTCACTTCACATTAGAGTCCTTCCATGTCATTACAGCAAGCCATGACACCCACCATCAGATTGTTCAGAAATTGTAGTTAGAAACAGATAGGATTGGCATTCCTGAAACATTATTTTATTGACATTTAATTGTATCTCTGAGAAATTAAGCTAATTGATTGCACCCAAATTGGCAATTTTAATTAATAGGATTCAGATAATATTCAGTAAATATAGTACCCAAAATCCGATTTGGAACATTTCTTCCTACCAATGCGTAAGACATGAGGAATATGAGAATTGCATAGGGATAGCCCTCTCAGAGAGCGGCCACGTGTTGGACTATTCAAGGAGAGTTGGGTTGAAGCATTAGGTTGCTAAGACAAGGATAAACTGAATTGCTTTCATGGAGGACTGGCTTGAATTGTGAGGATGACCACACAATTTGTTTTCATAATGAGCCAAATCTATTGGTTTAGAACCCAAAGTTGCAAAGGGAATGTTATGATCTATTTAATAAACACAAGAGACCAGCAAAATGGATAAAAGAATGTGGCGGTATAGGAAGAACAGTGGCATCTAGTGGTCAAAACATGTTACTTTCACACTACTTTATGGTAAATAATGCAAGCGACTTCCATTACAAAATTCACTAGGAATACATTACATAGTATGGAGAAGCAATTCTCCAAGCCACAGCTTCATACTACTTGTCAAACAGAGCACTTATACTGGTTGTTGGGGTGGGATTGGCATGGGGTGTGGGGGGTCCGTGGGTGGCTTTAGACACTTTATGGGGGATTCCTCAAGTCTTACTCAATGGTAGGAAGAAGTATGGTCCAAATCAGATGTTGAGTACTATAATTATTGAATATGATCGGAATCCTATAAATGAAAAGGGCAAATTTGGGGGCAATCAATTAGCTTAATTTCACAGAGATCAAATTATGTTTAAACAAAATAATGTTTCAGGAATGCTAATAGTATCTGTTACCAACTACATAATCAATTTCAGAACAATCTGAGATGGTGGGTGTCAATCCTCTTTCTTGTGCTTTTTGAGGTGGAACGACCCAGTAGTGAGTGGTAGGATTAATTATCTGGCTCTGAGATTAACTCTATATCGGAGATATTATATTTTGGTGTATGTTAATTTATAGATATGAAGTAAACGTATACAGTGCATTCGGAAAGTATTCAGACCCCTTGACTTTTTCCACATTTTGTTACGTTACAGCCTTATTCTAAAATCCTCAGCAATCTACACACAATACCCCATAATGACAAAGCGAAAACAGGTTTTTAGAAATGTTTGCTAATAAATAAAAAACAGAAATACCTTATTTACATAAGTATTCAGACCCTTTGCTATGAGACTCGAAATTGCTCAAGTGTGTCCTGTTTCCATTGATCATCCTTGAGATGTTTCTACAACTTGATTGGAGTCCACCTGTGGTAAATTCAGTTGATTGGACATGAGTTGGAAAGGCACACACCTGTCTATATAAGGTCCCACAGTTGACAGTGCATGTCAGAGCAAAAACCAAGCCATGAGGTAGAAGGAATTGTCCGTAGAGCTCCGAGACAGGATTGTGTCGAGGCACAGATCTGGTGAAGGGTACCAAAAAATGTCTGCAGCATTGAAGGTCCCTAAGAACACAGTGGCCTCCATCATTCTTAAATGGAAGAATTTGGAACCACCAAGACTCTTCCTAGAGCTGGCTGCCCGGCCAAACTGAGCAATCGGGGGAGAAGGGCCTTGGTCAGGGAGGTGACCAAGAACACGATGGTCACTCTGACAGAGGTCCAGAGTTCCTCTGTGGAGATGGAAGAACCTTCCAGAAGGATAACCATCTCTGCGGCACTCCACCAATCAGGCCTTTATGGTAGAGTGGCCAGACGGAAGCCACTCCTCAGTAAAAGGCACATGACAGCCCGCTTGGAGTTGACCAAAAGGCACCTAAAGACTCTCAGATCATGAGAAACAAGATTCTCTGGTCTGATGAAACCAAGATTGAACTCTTTGACCTGAATACTAAACGTCACGTCTGGAGGAAACCTGGCACCATCCCTACGGTGAAGCATGGTGGTGGCAGCATCATGCTGTGGGGATGTTGTTCAGCGGCAGGGACTGGGAGACTAGTCAGGATCGAGGCAAAGATTAAAAGAGCAAAGTACAGAGAGATCCTTGATGAAAACCTTCTCCAGAGCGCTCAGGACCTCAGACTGGGGCGAAGGTTCCCCTTCCAACAGGATAACGACCCTAAGCACATAGTCAAGACACAACGCAGGAGTGGCTTCAGGACAAGTCTCCGAATGTCCATGAGTGGCCCAGCCAGAGCCCAAACTTGAACCCGATCAAACATCTCTGGAGAGACCTGAAAATAGCTGTGCAGCAATGCACCCCATCCAACCTCACAGAGCTTGAGAGGATCTGCAGAGAAGAAGGGAGAAAATCCACAAATACAGGTGTGCTAAGCTTGTAGCGTCATACCCAAGAAGACTTGAGGCTGTAATCGCTGCCAAAGGTGCTTCAACAAAGTACTGAGTAAAGGGTCTGAAAAGTTATCTAAATGTGATAATTCCGTTTTTATCTTTTATACATTTGCAAAAATGTATAGAAACGCGTTTTTGCTTTGTCATTATGGGGTATTATTGTGTGTAGATTGATGAGGATTTGTTTCATTTTAATCCAGTTTAGAATGAGGCTGTAACATGAAAAAAGTGAAATGGTCTGAATACTTTCCGAATGCACTGTATCTAGAGGAATACATTTGTTTATCAAAAACTAATTTTGTTTTTAAATTGCCTTCGCCACACGCTCGGGCATTATAACTCAGTCTTGGCAGGTAGATGATCGCAGAGGCTCATACTCAGCCCTAAGCCATCTGTATCATACAACTGTTTATAATGAATAACACACAGTTATTCTTCTGAATCTTATCAGTAGGTAGGTATGTGCTTTTGTTTTGATGTATCTCCTATATTCCCTTAGGTAACTTAGACAGACATGAGGAGATGGAGGAGCTGGTTGCTAAATTCCTGGGCGTGGAGTCGGCCATGGCTTTCGGGATGGGCTTCGCTACGAATTCGATGAACATCCCTGCCCTCACTGGCAAGGTAGTAGGAAATGCTACCCAAACACCAGGGGTTCTCAGTCTTTTTCTATGTGCTAGCCTCTGGCTCTCTCTGGTTCACTGTCTTTGCATTCGTCGCTCTCTCTCTCGCGCTCTCTCTCTCGCGCTCTCTCTCTGTCTCTGTCTCTGTCTCTCTCTCTCTCTCTCTCTCTCTCTCTGTCTCGCTCTCTTAATTCAAGAAATGCTTTATTGGCATGAGTGGCTGGTTGCCACTGTTGCCAAAGCAATGTATATGAAGTATTACATACATGAACAATATGTCTGAGCAACAATTATAATATATGTCAACAAAAACAATTATACATGGAAAATAATACACAAAAAAGAAAACAAACAGCAACTGTTGAGAAATTAAATCTACAAGGGCTCATGTGTATGACATTGCTATTGTCTTTCTTATGTTATTATACTGTCTCAATGTTTTCTTCTACCAAAATTCAGATTTTCTCCTCAACAGGCAGTTCAAGAAATCCTGCAACATTTTCTTAAAATGTCAGGAGAAAAATATCTCTGAGTCATATTTGGAGCAGTGGAGTAGGAAGAGCTGCTCATCCTGTACATCACCTGACCTACAGTGGGGGAAAAAAGTATTTAGTCAGCCACCAATTGTGCAAGTTCTCCCACTTAAAAAGATGAGAGAGGCTGTAATTTTCGTCATAGGTACACGTCAACTATGACAGACAAATTGAGGAAAAAAAATCCAGAAAATCACATTGTAGGATTTTTTATGAATTTATTTGCAAATTATGGTGGAAAATAAGTATTTGGTCACCTACAAACAAGCAAGATTTCTGGCTCTCACAGACCTGTAACAACTTATTTAAGAGGCTCCTCTGTCCTCCACTCGTTACCTGTATTAATGGCACCTGTTTGAACTTGTTATCAGTATAAAAGACACCTGTCCACAACCTCAAACAGTCACACTCCAAACTCCACTATGGCCAAGACCAAAGAGCTGTCAAAGGACACCAGAAACAAAATTGTAGACCTGCACCAGGCTGGGAAGACTGAATCTGCAATAGGTAAGCAGCTTGGTTTGAAGAAATCAACTGTGGGAGCAATTATTAGGAAATGGAAGACATACAAGACCACTGATAATCTCCCTCGATCTGGGGCTCCACGCAAGATCTCACCCCGTGGGGTCAAAATGATCACAAGAACGGTGAGCAAAAATCCCAGAACCACACGGGGGGACCTAGTGAATGACCTGCAGAGAGCTGGGACCAAAGTAACAAAGCCTACCATCAGTAACACACTACGCCGCCAGGGACTCAAATCCTGCAGTGCCAGACGTGTCCCCCTGCTTAAGCCAGTACATGTCCAGGCCCGTCTGAAGTTTGCTAGAGTGCATTTGGATGATCCAGAAGAGAATTGGGAGAATGTCATATGGTCAGATGAAACCAAAATATAACTTTTTGGTAAAAACTCAACTCGTCGTGTTTGGAGGACAAAGAATGCTGAGTTGCATCCAAAGAACACCATACCTACTGTGAAGCATGGGGGTGGAAACATCATGCTTTGGGGCTGTTTTTCTGCAAAGGGACCAGGACGACTGATCCGTGTAAAGGAAAGAATGAATGGGGCCATGTATCGTGAGATTTTGAGTGAAAACCTCCTTCCATCAGCAAGGGCATTGAAGATGAAACGTGGCTGGCTCTTTCAGCATGACAATGATCCCAAACACACTGCCCGGGCAACGAAGGAGTGGCTTCGTAAGAATCATTTCAAGGTCCTGGAGTGGCCTAGCCAGTCTCCAGATCTCAACCCCATAGAAAATCTTTGGAGGGAGTTGAAAGTCTGTGTTGCCCAGCGACAGCCCCAAAACTGCGTACTATTGTTTGTATAGATGAATGTGGTACCTTCAGGCGTTTGGAAATTGCTCCCAAGGATGAACTAGACTTGTGGAGGTCTACAATTTTTTTTTGGAGGTCTTGGCTGATTTCTTTTGATTTTCCCATGATGTCAAGCAAAGAGGCACTGAGTTTGAAGGTAGGCCTTGAAATACATCCACAGGTACACCTCCAATTGACTCAAATTATGTCAATTAGCCTATCAGAAGCTTCTAAAGCCATGACACCATTTTCTGGAATTTTCCAAGCCATTTAAAGGCACAGTCAACTTAGTGTATGTAAACGTCTGACCCACTGGAATTGTGATACAGTGAATTATAAGTGAAATAATCTGTCTGTAAACAATTGTTGGAAAAATTACTTGTGTCGTGCACAAAGTAGATGTCCTAACCGACTTGCCAAAGCTATAGTTTGTTAACAAGAAATTTGTGGAGTGGTTGAAAAACGAGTTTTAATGACTCCAACCTAAGTGTATGTAAACTTCCGACTTCAACTGTAGATTGTTCTAATATGGTAGCCAGTTTATTTGTATAAATAATGAATAAGGTTGGACTAATATTGTGACCTTGTCTTACTCCTCTGTCTTGACTAAAGAATTGTGTTCACACAACATGAATAGACCTTGCCTCCTATAGCACTTTGAAGGCGTTTTAAGAACATGCTTTACCTTCATGCCATATGGAATCAAAGGCTTTTTTAATGTCTATATAAACAGGCAAATATTTTTCCTTTGTGAGTTTGGTGGCCAAGGTGTGGTGATCTGTTCAGCGTTTCGCGAGGAATCCAATTGGACTTTTACTTAAGATGTTGTGTTTACTTAGGAAGGCCTGAATTCTGGCATTCTTTATGCTACAGAAAACCTTTCCTAAGTTACTACTAACAGAGATGCATCACTGTCTGTCTCTCTCTGTTTCTTTCTCTCTCTCTCTCTCTCTCTCTCTCTCTCTCTCTCTCTCTCTCTCTCTCTCTCTCTCTCTCTCTCTCTCTCTCTCTCTCACACTCTCTCTCTCTCTGTTCTTTCAGTTAGTTTCACCCTCTCTCTGTTCATTTCACTTTCCCTGGCGCTCACTCGCATTGCCTCTAGGTTTCTTTCCCTCTCTCCCTGGCACTGTGTGCTCTATCGGTATCTGCCTCTGTTGTGTTGCCTTCAAAGTGCTGCCTTTACCGTGGAACGTGTGTGTGTAAAGAGTAAGAGTTTATGAGAGGAGGGTGTGTTTGTATTGCAATAGGGGAGGAATCCATGTTAGTATATTTAATACCAGCATGGTGTTGTCATAATGTTCAGAGCAGAGCACAAGCACTTCCTTATCTCCATAACAACAACATTCCGGGAGGTTGTGTGTGTCACCATGACGCCAGCAGGTGACCTCTAGACCTGGGTAGTGCGTACGCACGCCACAGGAGAGGCTCGATAACACCGCATATTATCAACAGGAAGTGTTTCCTGCCGCCAGGAGCACATCACAGCTCCACTTTCTGTCAGGGCAAAGGTCATCGCCAGAGGTCAACTCTGTTGTGTTGCTGTGAGAGCGGATGCAGTGTGAGGTTTCCAAACTTGACTGTGGGCAAGAAAGATAAATAACACATTATGTTATCTTTCTTTCTTGTGAGGATTGCAAAACGCAAGATGGTGAGGTTTTACTACTTATTGATCAAGCATAGAAATAGTCTTAGTAGACAAGCTCTCTCTCCTCTCTCTCTCTGTGTAGGGCTGTCTAATCCTAAGTGATGAGCTGAACCATGCTTCTCTGGTCCTGGGAGCCAGGCTGTCTGGGTCCACCATCCGAGTCTTCAAACACAACAGTAAGTCAGTCCTTTATCTCTATCCCACCGCAACACTGTGTCCATCCCCTATCTCTTTCCCCCTGCAACATCGGGTCCGTCCCCCATCTCTGTCCCCCCTGCAACACTGGGTCCGTCCCCCATCTCTGTCCCCACTGCAAAACCGTGTCTGTCCTCTATTGCTGTCCCCACTGCAATATCGGGTTCGTCCCTTATCTTTATCCCTTCCAGACTTTGTTAATGTTCAACCAAAATGGTGGGGCTTATATCTGTCCCACATGCTACAATGGGTCCGTCTTTTATCTCTGTCCCCCCTGTTTCTACAGTGTACAGATCACCACCCTAAGGCTCTATAGCTAGTCCATGAGGGGCATACACTACTTTGAAAAGTTTGGGAATAACTGCTCTGGTCTAAACAGTTTAGTCCCAGCAGTGACATTTAGGGGAGCGTGTGTGCGTGAGTGTGTGTGTGTGCTCTGAATTAAGCTCCGGTCACAGCAGGTCATGAATATGTGTTCCCACCAGCTGGAAAGGTCATCTCTATGGCAATTACCCTTCCTGATAATCTCCCTTTGATGGTCCAGGGCAGGGAAACAATCTGAATAGAAAACTGATATTTTAATGAGAACTTAACACTCTAGATCAGGGATTGTCACCTGGTGGCCCGAGTCTGGGTCTCAACTTACTTTTGAGAGTTAGAATAGTAGAACACACAATGTACAATTTAGACATTTGGTAGTGCATCAGCAGTTTTTCACTTGTTATGTCAGTCACTGACAGTCACTCAATTAGCATTTCAGATAATCATTTTTAGATTGGTAAATTAGTCTAGCCTGCTATATAAACTTGTAGTAATCATGGCCGAATACTGACCGGATACGCAGGGCAGGTGCCCAGTGGCCCTGACCTCCAGGAGGCCCCCATTGATTTTGTTTGTCACTCTCACTCAGATACATTAACATGGAATAAGTATTTGCAAAATGTGTAGAATCGCAGGAAATAGCTTTAGAACTACAAAGATTTCTCTCCATCCCATGGCAAAATGGGTAGAATTGCAGAAAATGTGAACAACTGCCGTTGTTAGCATCCCTGCCTTTAGGTTCATATGGATTGATTTGAGACTGGTTCAGCCAGCAAACAGACAAATCTCGCTTAGGGCCCCCAAAAGGATAGGGCTGGCATTGGTCTCTTGTCAGATGTTAACTGGTGTATGTAAATGGTGATTTCTCTGCTGTGGAAACTGTGTAACTGTGTGCTCCTGGTGTGTCTTGTCAGACATGCAGAGTCTGGAGAAGATGTTGAGAGACGCCATAGTCCACGGCCAGCCCAGAACACACAGGCCATGGAAGAAGATCCTCATACTGGTAGAGGGAATATACAGGTAGTCTTCTACTTTCAACTTTATTTGTGATGGTGAGCTTAAGTCAATTTGTTTACATTTTATAAAAGTACAGACTCGGAGCTTCAAAATGAAACATGGGAAAGTTATACTGCTTTGAAAGTTTATAAACTTGAAAGATTTTGCGGAGATTTTCACACTTGCTAGAGAGCTTTTCTTTGTTTCCTTGGCTGAATTAGGCTCGTAATTAAAATGTTGTATTCATATTTGTTATAGTTATATAGTTTGTTATTAAGGCACATGACAGTTCACATGTTCAAGAAGGCCTGCTGGCAGCAGAACATTGTACATGTACTCCAGAGGCAGCTGCTTAGACCGCTAGACCACCCTAGGCCACATGCTGTTTAAACTTTACACTATAAAGAAGGAATCTACAGGAACTCCCAACACTGGTGCTCTCTCTATCATTAGTCAAATGTACACTATGTGATGTGATGGCAAAAAATGTCCCCTGAAGTGAAGATCGGATACTTCCTCCTCCCCATCTTTTGTCCCTCTTGTCACCCCCACCCACCACCCTACCTCTCTCCATCTGTCCCCAGTATGGAAGGCAGTATAGTACGTCTACCTGAAGTCATAGCTCTGAAGAAGCGCTACAGGGCCTATCTTTACCTGGATGAGGCCCACAGTATTGGGGCTCTGGGGCCGGGGGGCCGAGGTGTGGTCGACTACTTTGGTCTGGACCCCCGAGACGTGGACGTCATGATGGGGACGTTCACCAAGAGCTTCGGCGCTGCGGGGGGCTACATTGGAGGCAGGAGGGTGAGGAGGATAACACTGATTTTAATGGACAGGTTCACTTTTTTGGAACCAAATCTGTATTTTGGATGTTCTAGAAGTGTCCAGACACTTTTTTTGTGATTTCACTTGCTTTTGAAAAGCATACCCCACCAGCGATAGACTTCCTCATTCAGTAGTTGTAGGGGCACAGATACAACATGAACAAAGGCTCCAAAAACACCCAAATACGTCCTTTTAGAAACGACAACGTTCTCAGTGTAGTGATGCAGGTCTTTAGACGTTGTACACGTGAAGTTGTGTCCTTCTGAACTTTATCCGCATTGTTATGTTCCATGTTGTGCGGACTCATTTTGTAGCCTGTGCATGCGCACAGGGAAAAGTGTAGCTTGAGTCGCACAACATGGAATATAACATTGCGGATAAAGTTCAGAATGACACAACTTCCTTTTAATGTTACTAAAATGTTACAGCCACGTTACAAATAAACGTTTCAGATACTGTAAATGTACCATATCCAATATAAAAACATTACATATTAACAGTACAGCAACATTACAGGGAGGAGGGTGAAGAGGAACAGCGCACAATGTAGATAACACATCTACTTTTATGCCAAGTCTGAAATCAGAAATATATACTTTTAGTGTTGCTAATATACTAACTTCAGGGTCAACAATAACATTCTATTCTAGGAGTTGATGGAGTACCTGCGTTCCCACTCTCACAGTGCGGTGTACGCCGCATCTATGTCACCTCCTGTCGTGGAGCAGATCATCGCTTCTATGAAGTGCATTATGGGGGAGGACGGGACGACGCTAGGTGAGTCCGACACGTAGAAACGCAGTAGATAGAGTGAAAAAGGTGCTATGTCCCCCACACACACTGATGCAATTAAATGCCATTTTAAAGACATTGCACTTAGCTGTAAAAGGTGTTTCAGGATGTTTTTGCTCTGTGGTTGGTACTGAGGTGTTTTCTGTTGGCCCATACCATGCTTTGCCACAAGGGGGCGGCATAAGCTTGTGTAAGACTGGAGCATGGCAGAATGCTCTCAACAGACATACTTAGTTTCTGTACAGATACAGAGTGGGGTTCTGATTTACTGACTGTGTGTAAGGTAATCAGTGTTCTATATTGGTGGAAACGTACTGTACTGACTATACAGTAGGCTATTCATCAGGTTTTAACTACAGTACCATCAAATCAAAGTTTATTGGTCTCGTACACAGATTTGCAGGTTATCGCAGGTGCAGTGAAATGCTTGTGTTTCTAGCTCCAACAGTGCAGTAATACCAAGCCATAATAAATCAAATAAAATACACACATAATCCAGAAAATATCAATAATAAGGAAATTAAGAAATATCAGAACGAGCAATGTCATGGACCGGAATATAAATATATGTATAGGGATGTAACAAAAATCACATTTTTGTTTTTCATGAATTGTATTATATAGACAATATTGATTTTCCTACAAGACTGTGCTCACCTTACTGCTGTCCCCCACCCACTCAGCAACGATGGTAGTTAATGCCATTTTAGGTTATCTGCTGTGTGCCTCTTCTCCATGTTCTTAGTTGTCAGTCGTACCTGGTAAAATAATGGAATTTAGAAATATATAAATATTAGGTTAGTGTTGCGCCACGTATGGTGTTCGAAAGCTCGCGCTTTGTAGGCCTAGTTGCAGAGCAATCATTGTACAATTTCTCCATCCAGGCAGTCACGTTTTTTTGAAATGGCATCTTGTGGTCTGGTTCGAGACATGCTAATAGGGCAACATTGAAGTCAACATCTTCTACCATTGACAATGGCTGCATATCAACTGCAATCATTTCTGTAATCAGCGCTGTGATTTTCTCACTCCGTCCCTTATCGCACTGCTGCCAGCAACGGGTTGGGTCTCATGGGCCTCCCTTTCAGCATTGCACCTGTACTGCCACTGTAGCTCAACACCACCTTGCAAAGTTTGCATTTCAAAACCTTCTCATTTAATTTCTCAAAGTTTATGTGTGTGTGTGTGTATATGTGTGTGTGTGTATATGTGTGTATATATATATATATTATATATATATATATATATATATATATATATATATATATATATATATATATATACATACAGTGGGGAGAACAAGTATTTGATACACTGCCGATTTTGCAGGTTTTCCTACTTACAAAGCATGTAGAGGTCTGTAATTTGTATCATAGGTACACTTCAACTGTGAGAGACGGAATCTAAAACAAAAATCCAGAAAATCACATTGTATGATTTGTAAGTAATTCATTTGCATTTTATTGCATGACATAAGTATTTGATACATCAGAAAAGCAGAACTTAATATTTGGTACAGAAACCTTTGTTTGCAATTACAGAGATCAAACGTTTCCTGTAGGTCTTGACCAGGTTTGCACACACTGCAGCAGGGATTTTGGCCCACTCCTCCATACAGACCTTCTCCAGATCCTTCAGGTTTCGGGGCTGTCGCTGGGCAATACGGACTTTCAGCTCCCTCCAAAGATTATCTATTGGGTTCAGGACTGGAGACTGGCTAGGCCACTCCAGGGACCTTGAGATGCTTCTTACGGAGCCACTCCTTAGTTGCCCTGGCTGTGTGTTTCGGGTTGTTGTCATGCTGGAAGACCCAGCCACGACCAATCTTCAATGCTCTTACTGAGGGAAGGAGGTTGTTGGCCAAGATCTCGCGATACATGGCCCCATCCATCCTCCCCTCAATACGATGCAGTCGTCCTGTCCCCTTTGCAGAAAAGCATCCCCAAAGAATGATGTTTCCACCTCCATGCTTCACGGTTGGGATGGTGTTCTTGGGGTTGTACTCATCCTTCTTCTTCCTCCAAACACGGCGAGTGGAGTTTAGACCAAAAAGCTAAATTTTTGTCTCATCAGACCACATGACCTTCTCCCATTCCTCCTCTGGATCATCCAGATGGTCATTGGCAAACTTCAGAAGGGCCTGGACATGCGCTGGCTTGAGCAGGGGGACCTTGCGTGCGCTGCAGGATTTTAATCCATGACGGCGTAGTGTGTTACTAATGGTTTTCTTTGAGACTGTGGTCCCAGCTCTCTTCAGGTCATTGACCAGGTCCTGCCGTGTAGTTCTGGGCTGATCCCTCACCTTCCTCATGATCATTGATGCCCCACGAGGTGAGATCTTGCATGGAGCCCCAGACCGAGGGTGATTGACCGTCATCTTGAACTTCTTCCATTTTCTAATAATTGCGCCAACAGTTGTTGCCTTCTCACCAAGCTGCTTGCCTATTGTCCTGTAGCCCATCCCAGCCTTGTGCAGGTCTACAATTTTATCCCTGATGTCCTTACACAGCTCTCTGGTCTTGGCCATTGTGGAGAGGTTGGAGTCTGTTTGATTGAGTGTGTGGACAGGTGTCTTTTATACAGGTAACGAGTTCAAACTGGTGCAGTTAATACAGGTAATGAGTGGAGAATAGGAGGGCTTCTTAAGAAAAACTAACAGGTCTGTGAGAGCCGGAATTCTTACTGGTTGGTAGGTGATCAAATACTTATGTCATGCAATAAAATGCAAATTAATTACTTAAAAATCATACAATGTGATTTTCTGGATTTTGTTGGATTCTGTCACTCACAGTTGAAGTGTACCTATGATAAAAATTACAGACTTCTACATACTTTGTAAGTAGGAAAACCTGCAAAATCGGCAGTGTATCAAATACTTGTTCTCCCCACTGTGTGTGTGTGTGTTTGTGTGTATATATATATATATATATTATCTATATATCTATATTTATGTTATATTATATATATATATATATTACTTTTTTTTTTGGGGGGGGGGGGGGGGTAGATCAGTTTTAATATTGCAGATAGATTGTAACTTCTATCAATTTAATTGTCTGCAATCATTTCAATCCCCCATATGTTTTTTCTCTGAACTGCTCAAAAAAATTAAGGGAACACTAAAATAACACATCCTAGATCTGAATGAATGAAATAATCTTATTCAATACTTTTTTCTTTACATAGTTGAATGTGCTGACAACAAAATCACACAAAAATGATCAATGGAAATCAAATGTATCAACCCATGGAGGTCTGGATTTGGAGTCACCCTCAAAATTAAAGTGGAAAACCACACTACAGGCTGATCCAACTTTGATGTAATGTTCTTAAAACAAGTCAAAATGAGGCTCAGTAGTGTGTGTGGCCTCCACGTGCCTGTATGACCTCCCTACAACGCCTGGGCATGGCGGATGGTCTCCTGAGGGATCTCCTCCCAGACCTGGACTAAAGCATCCGCCAACTCCTGGACAGTCTGTGGTGCAACGTGGCGTTGGTGGATGGAGCGAGACATGATGTCCCAGATGTGCTCAATTGGATTCAGGTCTGGGGAACGGGCGGGCCAGTCCATAGCATCAATGCCTTCCTCTTGCAGGAACTGCTGACACACTCCAGCCACATGAGGTCTAGCATTGTCTTGCATTAGGAGGAACCCAGGGCCAACCGCACCAGCATATGGTCTCACAAGGGCTCTGAGGATCTCATCTCGGTACCTAATGGCAGTCAGGCTACCTCTGGCGAGCACATGGAGGGCTGTGCGGCCCCCCAAAGAAATGCCACCCCACACCATGACTGACCCACCGCCAAACCGGTCATGCTGGAGGATGTTGCAGGCAGCAGAACGTTCTCCACGGCGTCTCCAGACTCTGTCACGTCTGTCACATGTGCTCAGTGTGAACCTGCTTTCATCTGTGAAGAGCACAGGGCGCCAGTGGCGAATTTGCCAATCTTGGTGTTCTCTGGCAAATGCCAAATGTCCTGCACGGTGTTGGGCTGTAAGCACAACCCCCACTTGTGGACGTCGGGCCCTCATACCACCCTCATGGAGTCTGTTTCTGACCGTTTGAGCAGACACATGCACATTTGTGGCCTGCTGGAGGTCATTTTGCAGGGCTCTGGCAGTGCTCCTCCTTGCACAAAAAGCGGAGGTAGCAGTCCTGCTGCTGGGTTGTTTGCCCTCCTACGGCCTCCTCCACGTCTCCTGATGTACTGGCCTGTCTCCTGGTAGCGCCTCCATGCTCTGGACACTACGCTGACAGACACAGCAAACCTTCTTGCCACAGCTCGCATTGATGTGCCATCCTGGATGAGCTGCACTACCTGAGCCACTTGTGTGGGTTGTAGACTCCGTCTCATGCTACCACTAGAGTGAAAGCACCGCCAGCATTCATAAGTGACCAAAACATCAGCCAGGAAGCATAGGAACTGAGAAGTGGTGTGTGGTCACCACTTGCAAAACCAGTCCTTTATTGGGGGTGTCTTGCTAATTGCCTATAATTTCCACCTGTTGTCTATTCCATTTGATATATAATATATATCTATATATACTTTTTTTTTGTGGGGGGGGGGGGGGGTAGATCAGTTTTAATATTGCAGAGCGATTGTAAATTCTATCATAATTGGTCTGCATCATTTCCAATCCCCCATATGTGTTTTCTCTGAAATATCTATACACTACCGTTCCAAAGTTTGGGTACATCTTAGAAATGTCCTTGTTTTACTCGAAAGAAAAGCATTTTTCTGGACCATTAAAATAACATCAAATTGATCAGAAATACAGTGTAGACATTGTTAATATTGTAAATGGCTATTGTAGCTGGAAACGGCTGATTTTTAATAAATGGAATATCTACATAGGCGTACAGAGGCCCATTATCAGCAACCATCAGTCCTGTGTTCCAATGGCACATTGTGTTAGCTAATCCAAGTTTATCATTTTAAAAGGCAATTTTATCGTTAGAAAACACTTCTGCAATTATGTTAG